CCAAATAAGAAGAAGGCTGGATGCCTGGATGCTGCTTGGAGAATGATTGAGAAACAATTAGCAACATCTCCATTAGACTTTCAGTAAACAAGAGCTAAGTGCCTATCAGCTTTGTGCCATTATAAGATTTGGGTTTATTTATTTATTTATTTGCTAAAGCAGCTGGAATTACCTTAATATATGCTAAATTGAGCTGATCTATCTATTATCTCTTGAATATGCCTCTGGCTTTTGCATAGACTTTTCCTTAGAATTCTCATCCTCTCCTTGAATTACTTGCATCCTAAAAATTATTCAAGGCCTAAATCGAGTTCCAATCATCTTGGAGCCACTTTGGTCTACTATTGTTATCACAGTGCTACGTCCTTCCCGCAGCTTTCTGCAGCACTTTGCTATCTCTCCCTCTCAGGTACACTTACCATGGCTCCAGTTCTGGATGTCTTGCTTTCTAGAGACTGCATTCTCTTTGAAGTCAAGGATGATGTTATCATGCTTTTTCTATTGTTCTGAACTGCATAACATGGTCTGTGTCATGGGAATTTACAGTAAATATTTGTGGTGAAAACTCAATAAAGGTTTATTTTCCTTAAAAATAGTCTTTCGTTATTGAAGCATGACGGCATGTAAGCTATAATTTACTGGATTTCGTGTTTTCATTACTCCTCTCACCAATATACACACTCTAACACTTCTTGACAACTGCTTAGAGGAGACAGAAGGCATGCTTATCATATTTCAGATGGCACAAACTAGAAGTAATAAATAATGCACAAGATGGCAGAATCAAAACAAGACAAGTTAGAATGAAGTAGATAATATTTAACAGGAATAACTACAAAATTACCTATTCAACCTCAGTATGGAAAGATATGGCTAACATAAAATTTATAGGGTGACTCTGGTTTTTTGTTGTTGTTGTTTTGTTTTATGAATTTTATTTATTTGAGAAAGAAACACAGACAGACCTCTCATCTTCTGATTCACTCACCAAATGCTCACAACAGTCAGTGCTAGGCTAGGCTGAAACCAGGAGCCAGGAGCTCAATCCAGGTCTTTTAGGTGGGTAGCAGGGAGCCAACTACTTGAGCCAACTACTTTTGCCTTCCAAGGTGTGCATTAGCAGGAAGCTGGAAGGGAGAGCAGAGCTAGGATTTGTACCCAAGCATCTTGTAGCAGGGGCTTAATCACTGTGCCAAACACTCACTCCTCTTTCAGGTTTTAATTGGTTATTCATAGTAGGCTCAGAGCACTGGCCAGTGTAAAGCCTTCAGGCTCCAACAAGACACAAGCATGGACAAAGGCTTCTAGGTGGTGTCCAAGTGGAAGTGAATGGGGCTTCAATGTTAGGTAAGCGGAGAATGAAATACTATGTTTTAACTTGGGCAACCTAAGCACATGGGTCCACTTTTACCTGTAACATTAGTGGGAATCCTCCATCTGAGGATACAAGCAAGCAATTTCTGACATCAAACTGGTGCCAATAGGACAGCCTGGGTCCCCTGAGAGTTTTTCTTTAGAAGTAGAACCTAGTATGTATATGAGGCAAAGAGAATTTTATTCCTTTGCCCTCTTAAGGGTCTCTGGAATAACAGATAAAGATGAAATAGGAGCAAAAGCATGCAAATTTATTGACATCTATAAAGGGAAAAGTCACTGCATTGTGATAACCCACCCATTTAGCATTATTCAAAAACATATGGGCCCCCTTTTCTATAGGGGATGAAAATATACAATAGACAATAGACAATTTTGAGAGTTTTCAAGTGATTACTAGACAAATAAATGGTCCCAGAGGTAGAAATTGGTTTATAAAAAGCCTCTTTGGTATTTGACTACACCCAAGGAACCAAGACTATCTTGAAAAGGAGCTCTATCCATGGGTAGTGACAGTCCCCAGTCTGCTCTAGAGACAGAGAACAAGATTTAAGGGTGGGGATGGAGGGCAGCCATATTCTTTTGGTCCAGGTCTTAGTGCGGATAAGGAGAATTCCAGAGCAACCTTTCTGTTTACATAATAGTGCTCAGCATGCCAAAATGTGTCATATTTTAGGAGTATCATCCTTTGAGCCCCAACATAAGTTTTAAAGGTTTATTTTAGTTTTGGTTTCACTTTCCAAGGTCAGGGCTAGAGCTGTCCATCACTTAACAGTCTTCATTTTTGCAAAGGAGGAGAGAAAGCAGAATGCATCTTCTCTGGGTTCTGCTGGGACAACCATTGTATGATATCCAGATAGACCCAAACATAGAAATGCAGGTTTGCGAAAAGCTGGGATATAAATTTCAACAAGAAGGTTGTGACCTGGGCCTTGGCACTAGATCACCCAAGGGTCTGGAGAATAGTCTTGTGTTAATAGAAGCCTAGCGCTCGGAACAAAGGTGCTGCTGTAGTCAGACCACACAGGAAGAACTGTTTCTTTCTTGGATGGCAGGAGTTAAAAAGGATACAGGCAAATTGGTGTGTATCTAAAGGAAGGTGATTAGAATGCTGAAGGGACTTCCAAACCAAATCACTAGTTACTTTTTGGTGGTTCAGGCTCCAGGACTTAAGAGGGTCAGGGTGGAGGGTGCCAGGTGGTGTCAAGTAGCTTACAGATCAGAACTCTTCAGCTATGTGGATACAGCTTTGTGAGAGAATTTTAGAATACTTCAGATACTGCTAGAAGGCAGAATGGGAACCAATGGGATTTAAGTTCAAAATGAATTTTTAAACCATTATAGCTCTTCAAAAGTGGAAGAGCCTTTGTAAGTAAGCAAAGTTTAAAATGTTCACCTAGAGACCAATGTCTACCACAGATGTTTTAGCTGAGATTCAAGAGCATTTGCTGGGCAGTAAGATAAGGTTTTTTTTCTTTTCTCATCTTTTTTTTTTTTAATATTTATTTACTTATTTGAGAGGCAGAGTTCCAGAGAGAGAGAGAGACAGACAGACAGAGACAGAGAGACAGAGAGAAAGGTATTCCATCCACTGGTTTATTCCCCCAAATGGCCACAATGGCCAGAGGTGGGCTGATCCAAAGCCTGGAGCAAGGAGCCAGGAGCTTCTTTCTGGTCTCCCACACAGGTGCAAGGGCCTAAGCACTTGGGCCATCCTCCACTGCTTTTCCAGGAGCATCAGCAGAGAGCTGGATGGGAGAAAGAACAGGGACACGACCGGCGCCCGTATGGGATGCCAGTGCCACAAGCGAAGGCTTAGCCTACTAAGTAAGCCACAGCGCCCGCTCCTGATAAAAGGGTTTCTAAAGTTCTCATTCTAATCTTATGTTCACTGACCCAATCTTTCAATTAGACGTGCATTACACAACACGAAGAAAGTTATTACCTAAGATTATTTTGAAGTTTCAACCAGATTTTTGAAAATCTTCCTCTTAAAAACAATGCAGCTCACAGATTACTTTTAATGTGCCATTAGTAGAAGGGAAAATGGTGTCAGTGCCATTGTGATGGGCAGGAGAAATTCTCTGAAATTCCCCACAGGAGTCTGAATCCCAGTGAGTGGATGGCCGGGGAAGTTGGAAACCTTGTTTCCGGAGGTCAAGGAGCTCATTGGGGCTCTGTGCCAAACAGCACCCAAGGCGACTAACTGTCACAGGCTTGCTCCTGCCACCCTATCCCCGGAGGCTCTGCAGCCAAACACGCCCGAATCACATTGTTCCTAAGAACTCACTGTCCTGGAAACACTGTGCATTTCTATGTGTCTATTTTCCTCTGTTGGATTCTTCCTCCCTTTCAGGGATTGGAAGAAATTCATTCTTTTCACAATCTTGAGTCTCCAGTAAGGTAGGAGAAAGTCCAGGTAATGTGGACTTGACTGGGAAGACAGATTCTCACACCAGGAAGCTGCAGGATGGTACTGTATGTTTGACAATCTGGACACAGGAGAGCGTTACAGAGCATCCTCAAAACTGGTTGGAGGGATTGCTATAGAACCCGCAAAACAGGATGTACTCGCCGAATGCACGGCAAGCCAGTTACTGACACCGGGGTAGAATAAAGTAGATATTTACCGCAGGGCACAGAGCAAGGAGCAGAGCAACTGCCCTACTTAATTCCCAGGCTCCATCCCGGGGTTAAGGTTCTTACAGATTGAAATGGGGGAGGGGAGTAGCGGGAGTGGCACTGTGTCATAGTAGGCTAAGCCTCTGCCTGCCCTGTTGGCATTCCATATGGAGGAGGGAGATTGGGGCTGAGAGGTGTTTTCATGTTCAGGTTCCTGGTTGGTTGTAGTGCTCTTGGTCTTCCCTTGTTTGGTCATGGAGATGGTGTCCCTCAGAGAATTCTGATGATGCCATAAATGCATCATGTTCGTTTTTGCACAGGGCCCAGGATTCCTGGAAAAAGAAGCTCCTCAAGGGCTTCTTGGTGGTCAGGAGGTGAGGTGCAGGACAATCCTTTTGTGGATAAATATTATAAGACTTTTCCCTCCCCGGAAACTAAGCCGCTCTACAGTGCCTCGGATGCTGATGCTGGACACCACAGGTCCCCCCGTGTCGTAGCCTCCCTCTCTCAGCTGCACCTCTTCCTCAATTTAGTGAGTTAGTACAAGCAAAGCAAGGGAACTCTAAACTAGAGGAGGGAGGCTATGAGCCTGGGAGACTAGGACCTGATGGTTTCTATTTTCCACGCAAGGACTAGATGCTCAGCCAGGAAAGAGACCCACATACTTATGCACGAAAGAACCGTCCCATGTCTCGCTTCTTGACCTCGAAGCCCTTCCTTCTCTCTATGCAGCCCACAGCGTGCTGCCCAGGTCCGTGCTGGGGGACGGTGTGAGGCGTGCACCTGCCGTCAATACACCATCAGGTGCAGGGCGGCGGTACTTCTCGCCGAGGTGTCCCCACCCGAGTATACCGCCGGCCCGCACCGCTTTCTCGGCGGCTTTCCCAAGCCCCACGCCTCACGCGGTGCTCAAGACTACAACTCCAGCCCGCGCGGCCGCAAAACCTGGGAGCGCCGGAGTGGGCGCGCGGGTTGCGCGCGGGCCGGCGCCCGGAGCTCTGGGCATGCTCAGTGGCGCGGGCAGGGCTCCGGGCGCGAGCCGGGCGCCTTCTGCACCACATTCATCCGCTGCCAAGGGGAGCCGCCGGGCGCTCGCAGGCTCCGCGCACGCTACCCGCCACCGACCCTGCCGCCGCGCCCCGCCGCCTCCCGGAGCCATGGCCGGGCTCGGCCACCCCGCCGCTTTCGGCCGGGCTACCCACGCCGTGGTGCGGGCGCTGCCCGAGTCCCTCAGCCAGCACGCGCTGAGGCGCGCCAAGGGCGAGGAGGTGGATTTCGCCCGCGCTGAGCGGCAGCACCAGCTCTACGTGGGCGTGCTGGGCAGTAAGCTGGGGCTGCAGGTGGTGGAGCTGCCGGCAGACGAGAGCCTCCCGGACTGCGTGTTCGTGGAGGACGTGGCCGTGGTGTGTGAGGAGACGGCCCTCATCACCCGCCCCGGGGCGCCGAGCCGGAGGAAGGAGGTAACTGCCGGCCGGCGACGCGAGGGGCGCGGCCGGGGGCGCGCGCTGGGGCCTCGCGCAACGCGGACTCGCGGAACGGGGCCCCGGGCTAGTTCACAACTTCCCATTGCGGGGCGAGGGTGTGTGTGTGAGAGCGAGTCTGGGAGAGCAGTCAGCGCCTTCGAGGCGATCCAGCCGAGTCCGGTGCGGACTCGGCAGGTGGGTGGGCTGAGGAAGCCATCTCGCAAGCGTTTTTATTTGTAAATACCCGGCACAAGCAAGGTGCCAGTCTCAGTGTCCCTGGGGAGCGGGGCGAGTGAGCCTTGGCGTCCCTCCAGGGACAGCGCCAGTCGGTGACACTGAAGCCCCCCAAGTCCTGCCTGGTGCCGGATGAATTAATGGGGTGTCGGCCCCACCGACCCGGGGGGGCGTCCCGACTCACTTTTCAGTGGTGGAGACAATTTGCGTGCGACCGAATTTGCCGAGTGTGTGGCTGGCGAGCGGTGCCGAATGTGTGCGCATGAATGGGCCATGTCTGAGGCGCTGTACTCTCTGTGGGATGCTGGGGGTGTGTGTTGGTTTAGAGACCAAATTTGTTCCACAAATTTAATAATTCATATTCTTTTTTTTTAAAACTCGCTGCCATTCAAAGAGCTTTTTGTGTCCGCAGGGGGCAATGACCACTTTTAAATGTTGCGGTTTGTGAGAATGGCTGTGATTACTTTAAACACAATGTAGGTTAGTGGGGAATGACAGTGAGGGTGGATTTGAAAGTGCCATCTGGCTTGGGAATCTTCTCACTCCCCTTTAAGAGCCGGGCCCAAGACTGCTAGTGGCATTCAGCGGCATTTCAAGAAGCAGGTGGTTTCTTTCCTGTCTGGAGGTCTTGGGCTTTTTCCGCACTTCCCCTCCCCATTTTGTTTTTAGTCCACTCCGAAGTGTTAAAATGCCTCATAGAGCTTATGATGATTATGTGCTGGTCCCACACGTGCTCTGCTGTGTGGCTGGTGGAACCCACGTAGTCTGAGAATAAGCGTATTCCATTTGTTTCTCACTGAGATAATTGCTTTTTTTTTTAACTCCTACTTTAACCAAAAACCAAAAGTCTTTCAGATCTCATCAATTTCTTCGCCCCTTTATCTCCTCTGCTACCCATTTTAAACTGCTAAGGAAGGAAATCCATTCGAATACATTCAGAGGTGTTCTAGGCCATATGGTAGAGTTGTGGCTTGAAAATCGTTTGAGAATGGTGCTCATTCGACCAGGGTAGTCCAGTGTGCTCCCAAGAGACTGTTGCCGTACTTACTCATTTTATTCCTACAATAAAAACTTCCGAGCTTTGGCCTTCATGATACCAAGCGTGCTGTGATCTTTGTTTTCTACCTAGATTTTCAGGTGTACATTTTAAACTGGTTTAGTTGTGATACCAGCCCCCTTGGTCCACTGCCCCATGTTGGATAGCGCAGTGGATGAGAACATTAGACTGTGTCTCAGTTCCACTACTTCCTGATTGTGTGACTTTGAGGAAGTGTCTCTTGCCTCAGTTTTCTCAGCTATAAGATGGGCATTACAATACCTACTGCAAATTGCAATCAATCTGTGAATCCACCTGAAGTTAATAGGACAAGATATTTAATCAGCATTGACTATTCACTTGGGTTATGGAAGAATTTACTCCTTGAAAAAGAGGTGTCAGCCATCCACTAATGTAGTTGTGTTACAGGAGATGGCTGATCAGAGGTTTTTCTCTTCCTACAAGAAAAGAATTTCAGGCATCAGAGAGCATGCTAGTGAAGCTTAATGAAAAGAATACACCTGACATAGCAGGTGGGCATCTCGTCTGCTTTTAGACTGGAGTTATTATAGCTATGGACCCACCATTTGTCCTCTCCCACCCTCCCTACCCTCTTCTGGGATGCTGCCGGGTGGAAAGCTTTCTGGGCATAAAATTCATGAAATTTCTCCCAGAACTTTATCAGCACAGTGTTATTGGACCTGTTAGCCTCCCTGATGCAGGGAGATTCCCCTAAGCTGCTCTAGGGAGAGGGCTGACCTGATCTAACAAGGTTGTTGGATTTGGGCAAGACTTTTGATGTGTAGATGCAGGTCTGCTTCAACAAATCTGCCCTCACTCACTCACACATAAATTCCCATTTTCTTCAGCCCTTCTCACACACAGACACTAATGTGTAGCTTGCTTCCCATTAGTGATGTTTGCTTGAAAAGAGGCAGAGGAGAGTCATCTCGCGTTTTCGGCTCCATCCTAATCTTTTCTGTGACACTGTCCTCTGGTTTGGGTCTCCTGCTGGTGTATGGTCTCTCTCAGGGACACTCTTGCCATTGCACATGATCTGGGTCACCAGGGTAGCAGGTCTGCCTGCCGGGGAGAGGAATATGGGCAGTCCATGTTGGACAGGTTGCTGTTAGAGAGCAGGGTAATGCTTTTGGAAATCTCTCACAACACCAGCTCTCTGCCTTAGCAGGTGTCAATGTTTGTTGAATGAATGAATGAATGAATGCCCATTAGCTAAAGCAGATGAGCTGGTAGTTACTTCAGGGCTTTCATTGGATTGTTACATATATATCTTTCTTCCTAACTCTGAAAAACCATCACAGCCAAGAAATTATCTTAAAAAGATCATCACTGCCTTCCCCAACTCCAGACCCATTACTCTTCATTCTATCCCCACACTGTAGCCAAGCTGACCTTTTGAAAACTCAAATCTGATCTTGCGCCTCTTGAAGGGCCCCATTGAGCTTCCATAAACCTGGGCTCAGCTTGCCCTTCTAGCGTCAGCTGCATCCCTGACCCGACCATACGCACCTCCCAACACTTGTCTCAAGATCACTTTATTATTGCTTTTCTAGGCACGTTTTTCCTTTGTCTGGGACAAGCTGCTTCCTTCTCCTCTGCTTCTTTTGTACCTGCCTGTTCCTATACACGTTTCAGTCCTCGGCTTACCAGCATCATTAGCATTATTAGCTAACATTGATGAGAGCTTGCCATCTGCCACACACTGTGCCTGATGTAGGACTTGCATTTTATTAATGCTTACACAAACTCTTTGAGTGAAACATTGTCATTGTTTCTATTTTAATGCTGGAGTTGTGGCTTAGATAGAGTAAATACATTGGCCAAGAATATAGAGTGGAGCTGGTGAAACTGGCATTTGAACTCAGATTTTCAGGACTTCAAAGTCATAATTCCACCCTCTGATGTTAGATATTGGCTTTCCAGGAATGGAATTGGTCAGTTCTCTCCTATGATATTTATCATACTATATGATAATTGCTGATTGATCTTTCCGTATGCCCCACTATTATGTAAACTGTCAGGACAGGGATCATGTCTGCATTGTTCAGCATTTATCCCCAAGACCTTGCACAAAATGGGTGCATAGCAAGGATTTTATTGAGCAGATGTCTCCATGGTTCCAGGTCAATCTCAGTTCTTTCTTATGACAAACTTGGTGTTTTGAAAACATTTCCAACCAATTAAGTCCCAGAAGTTTTACTAGAAGTACATATGATTTGTTTCTCTCTTCCTCTCCCTCTCCCTGTAGCTGTATCTTGTTATTTTGTTTCTTTTTATGCAAATTTTTAGAAATTCCTTTTTATTCAAAGATGTTGTATTTATTGACTTTTTTTCTTTGGAGAAGGGACTGAGAACTGAACTCAAGGAAGTGCTCCTGTGAAAGCCAATGTTTGCCTCAGTGGAGCCTTCAGAGATTAATAAAACACAGGCTTGTGTGTGCAGGAAGCTGACATTTTAGAGAAGGAGTATGTATACAGAGAGTCAGTAAATAATGTTAATTGCCTAATGACTATCTTCAGAACTATGAGCGTTTTTAATGTGTTTAATACTTTACAGACAAATCATCCTGGAAGAGCATATCATATTTTTTAAAAAAGATTTATTTATTTATTTATTTGAAAGGTAGAGTTACAGAGAGGCAGAGGCAGAGAGCGAAGTCTTACACCTGCTGGTTCACTCCCCAGATGGCTAGAATGGCTGCAGCTGAGCCGATCCAAAGCCAGGAACCAGGAACTTCTTCCAGGTCACCCACGTGGGTGCAGGGGCCCAAGCACTTGGGCCATCTTCTACTGCTTTCCCAGGCCATAGCAGAGAGCTGGATCAGAAGTAGAGCAGCCAGGTCTCAAACCTGTACCCATATGGGATTCCGGCACTGCAGGCAGCGGCTTTACCCGCTATGCCACAGCACCAGCCCCAAGCCTATCATATTTTAAGTGAATCCAATTTAACGTTTTAGGGAGAAAAATCAACTTCTAAATGTCCCATCCTGTGAAAATTACCTAAAATTTGGTTTAGTACAAGTGGCAAGGTGTGAAGATGAAGTTTTTTTTTTTTTAATTAAACTTTTTGAGACATAATACATGGCAGCAGGACCAAATGCAAAATGTGCAAGAGAGTACACAGTCTTACCTTCTACGACCATTCTTTTTTTTTTTTTAATGTTTATTTTCATCTATTTGAAACACCAAGTGACAGAGACAGAAAAAGATACATTTTCCACTGGTTCATTCCCCAAGTGGCCACAACAGCTCTGACTGGGCCAGGCTGAAGCCAGGAGCTAGGAATTCTCCGGTCTCTCACGTGGTTGGCAGGGGCGCAAGTATTTGGGCAATGATCTACTGCCTCCCAGGATGTATTAGCAGGAAGGTGCATCAGAACGTAGCAGCTGGAACTTGAACCAGCACTCTAATATGGGACGCAGGTGTCCCAATGGGATTTGGGCATCCCAAGCAGCAGCTTAACCCTTTGCACTGCAATACCAGCCTCGCCCCTACACAGGGCTGCCCAGATCCCCTCCTTAGAGGCAATTACTTACACCATTTTCTTTAGTTTCCTCCTGCAAGGTTCTTAGTGCCTAGTGAATGATTAACTGGCACAGCTTATTTAAGCAACATTGTGGAACATATCCTGTGCCCTTTGGTCCCTCTTTAAAAGCAATTTTATCCTTTTCCAGATACCAAGAATTAGTGTGTGAGATAATTCTATT